TCCCCGCCTCCTCATTCATCTTCGTCGTCCTTGTCGATATCAGCAAATACCTGGAACCGTATCAATGGATACACGCCGCCTCATTCATCTTCGTCGTCCTTGTCGATATCAGCAAATACCTGCGACCGTATTAATGGATACACAGCCTTCACCTGGAAAGAGAGACAGGAGACATATACAGGGAACAAAGCAAACAGATTGCCATGCACGAGGCGCAAGCGGGCGTCAAAAAAAAATAAAAGAAATTCAAACACCATTGCCGATTCTCAACACCATATTACCGTTGGCATTCAAACTACCGTCTTCACCCGAATAGACCACGCAGTCACTATAGCCGTATGTAGACTGCAAGTTGCTCCCAATTCAGATAATAATGACCTGGCATTCTATCTAGTTGGGTGAAAACAGCAGCATGAGGGGTACAAACTTCTCCTTGGTATCTATTAATCGAATTTAATTCTCTATTCTGAATACTTTGGCATTGGATGAGACCTTCTACACTATCTTGGGCACAAAGGGCCTCTTCACGCCACTCACGGAATATGCAGTGTGTACTATGTAGCATGTACCTTCCGCAAAAACATAGAAAGATACACCTGCCATAGGTTTTGTCTTTTTCACATTCCGTGACCGCTGCGGCAATACCCAATTCCGGTCAATCGGAAATCCATTTTGTGGAGAATGGCAGCATCAACCGCACACACCAAAAAAAAAAAACAAAAAAAAAAACATACGTACTGCCTTCATCTCCCAACCATAGCTCCTACCACGTTCTGCGGAATACGACCCACCCGCATAAATAACTGTGTTGGACCAGAAAGATGGACTGGATACATTCAGGATGATTGTTTGCATTGTATTCGGCCGAAGAGGTTAGTAGGTACATTCCGGTTTTCCTCAAAATGCGTTTTCTGTAACGTGTTACTTTCATCTTTCTCCAATACAGCACGTTCCTTATAAGTGGAAAGCCTGCCGTCTTCACCTCAACAGAACACCCAGTCATCATGGCTGTATTCGGGGCAACTTCCAGTCTAGGTACAGCGATAATTACCGTACATTCGGGTGAAGACGGTAGGCATTTCCATCTGAAAAACTAAAATGCCTAGGCATTGTTTGCAGGGTTGTAGAAAAACACTATTCAAGTACAACATATACATTTGCCTGACCTTCTCTCTCTCTCTCTCTCTCTCTCTCTCTCTCTCTCTCTCTCTCTCTCTCTCTCTCTCTCTCTCTCTCTCT